AGAGAGAGAGAGAGAGAGTAGGAGGAGAGAGAGAGAGAGAGAGAGAAAGCGAGGAAAGAAACAGTATCAATTGACGGGCACGTCCTGGTTGTAGGATCGGCGTTGCCGAGGGAGGAGGCCGCGATGGCGGTCGCCGCCACCGATACCACACAGGCGGTGGAGAATTTCGCGAGGCTCTACACGGCACTGCGCCACGACGACGCTAGGCCTCTATGCCGCTACTGCGGCCGTAGCTACTCGTCGCCGAGCAACCTGCGGCAGCACGTGAAAACGTCCACTCGAACTGGCCGTCGCCGGACACGTGGCCGCAGTGCAACGTATGCGGCAAGCGGTGCAAGACGAAGCACTACCTAATCAATCATCAGCTGCAGGCGCACGGCATCCATCAGAGGCCTAACATGAACAATCCCGCCGTCCAGCAGCAGCAGCAACAGCATCAATCGCCCTCTTCGTCGTCGTTGCCATGAGTACGTTTGGCGTCGTCGTCCGCGGATCGTCGGGAAGCGCGTCGAAATACAATCAAGTCCTCGCCGCTCGTCGAGAAGCTTTAGTCGATATCGTGCGGTCGGAAACGCGGGGATTGCTGCCAGCTTGATAAGGCTTTTAGAAGTCATGATGGGGACTTTCGTCGCCGCCACGGCTGGCATCGCGCCGGCTGTCCACCCGAAATTTGTTTAATCCGTTTACGGAATGAAACTCACGAACGTTAAAGCGAATGGTGGTCGGCGCGCAGCGGCGGGGAATATCCGAATGCGATCTCTGGGGGCATTAGTAAGCGACGGCGACTGAAATCACTTTTGCACCCACATTGTAGTTTTCACATTGTAGCAAACATTATCAATAATGCTTTTATAATGAATGGGAACGAGATATTAATTGAAATTGCGTAATGAAAGAGAATAAACAGCGCAAAGGATTTCAAGCCCTCTGGTACGCAAAATCACTTCCGACCGCGACAAAATGAATTAATCCAATCGTCAGATGTTTTGCATAGACTTTGTGACGACGGCAGACGAAGCGCACGCCTAAACACAATACTGAAATAATTGCAGCGGTAATTAAAAATACAAAATACTGAGATTTATATAGCGCGAGTCAGAAAAGATCATCGATTTTATATTTTAATGCTGCGCATCAAATTAAGCGTATACGGAACTGAACGAGTATACGAAAATTGACTCGCGAACGCCTGATTTTAAATAATTACATGAACGCATAATTATAACAAACACACACGCAATAGGTTTATCGAGAAGTTAGCATCGATTAGCATGTTTGCGAATTTAGGATCTCTCGAACACCTCCGTCATCTTTTCACCGAAAATCCAGCTACTCGTAGCCAAAGATCTTCAATTTGAATAATATTCCCACTTCCCCACTTAAAGAGCATAGTTAAATGGCAGCATTAATTGTCCATACTCTCTTGCACGATGCAGACTCCTTCCAACTGTATTCAAGTAAAGGGCAGTTATCCAGTTATAAATTTTGACGACATATCGTATTTTTATTTCTGTAGAAAATTTAATTTATATCATCTTCATCACATTCCGAACACCCCAGCTATGTGTCAACATCTTATCATGATCTCAATTATGTGACATCTAACTGTTATGAATGTTTGTTATTATGCTAAAAAATGATACGTCACGGATTTCCATACTGAATTACTAGAGACTATCTCGTGTGAGTTTGTACATCCGAATATATAATAACAAATAGTACCACGCATATATAAAAATATATATGTGTGTATTATATAAGTATTCAGAAAAGTTGAAAATTATAAATTATATATAACATATAAATATATATAAATTATAATTATAAAACACTGAAAAATAATTATTGATATGATTCGAAGTTTATATTAAATTTTCCCGAACTAACTTACATATATCCGGAGGATGTCAGGCATCTTACATTGAATTACACAGATAGTCTCTACCTGTGCCAATAACAATTAGCAATCGATTGGTAGCAAATAGTAAGAATCCGGTGTAACTCCGCTCCACGGGAAATACTCCGAGATGTTGAACATCGTTGGATCGAGGTTGGGCGCGTAGCATTATCGTGTATAATTCGGGGTGGGATTACGGTGGTGGTGGCTGGTGGTAACGTTGGTGTGGTGGTGGTTGCAGATCACGGGCTTGATGAGGCGGAGGGCGCGGCTTACCACCACCACCACAGCCATCACCAGCAACATCATCGGCATCGCCATCATCATCCACTATCCGTCCCTCCTCCTCACCACCGTCATCAGGCGCCACTGGAAGACGACTCATCAGTTAGTCAATCCTTCACCACGGCCACCACGACGATCACGACGAGCAGCAAATACCAGCGTGGCCAGCCGGACTTCAGGCAACAGAGATTACTGCGGGAGCACCATCGGCAACACGGTTACAGGTGCCCCCTGTGCTGCAGGACGTTACAGGATATCAGCGCCATGCGGGCGCACTTGGATCAGCATTACCCCAGAGACTCGCCCACCTGTCCCGTCGCCTCCTGCGCCAAAACCTTCTCCCATCCCAACAGTGTCAGAAATCATATGCGACTCAAGCATCCGGTGCAGTGGGATCAGATTAAGACATTGAGGTGGACATACGTCTGATAAACAGGCGAGGATCAGCTTAACTCTGATCGCGTATTGTAATCTTTAATCTTTCCTAGCAGGCTTTTGCCAAAGAAGCTTTGTTTCTTTATTTTTATGGTGTGTGATTCTAAAATTTTCTGTGCAGCAATTGCGCGACGATGGCGAGTAATGGTCTAATGGATAACAATTTTTAGTTGAGTGTTAGGATTAGAATTTATTTTATATTAATATATCGATGATTTTATATTAACAGATTTATTGAAAATATTACTTTAATAATATTGAGATGGACTATTTTTTTCTGAGATAGAATTAATATAATATACATAAAAATATACACTTAGAAATCAATCGACAATCATTCCCTGTATAGGAAAATTAAAGCTTGCTCATTTAATACTTTTAATAAGAAGAAGACACACGAAATTCATGTCAAAATTGAGTTTGTTATCGTCGCGCAAAGGCTGCTTTAAATCATAAATGTTGGAAGAGAGTCTGGTCGACGGAGATTGAATTCTTTACAAAGAGATCTGCGAAGTAAAAATATGAATAAAGTCGGTGAATGTATTTAGAGGGGCATGCCAATTACAAATTAGCTGCAAATATAGTACCTTTGTGTGATAAGAGATGCGCAAAGATGAAAATCGGACTATCTTTAGTGCTTTATTTCGAAAATACTGTCACATACGCACCCACCGCGAAGTTTATCCCTGACGAAGAAAGCGCACATTGTATATATGCGAGAGATTATATTGACAAAGGAGAAAATCTATAAATATATAAAGAGCTATAAATATAGTGTACATATATATATATATATATATATATTTATACATATATTATATATATATACATACATACATACATATATATATATATATACATACATACATACATATATATATATGTACACATAAAGAGATATACATAGAGTTGATTTTGTATAAAATATACGGAGCAGTATTTCCTGTAGAGCGCCTGAAACGTAGACGCCGCCGTAGGATAAAGCGACGCACTCGTAGCAAGGTCTGACGTCCGGTGTACGCAGACATCGACATTGATATAACGATTAGACTACGTATCTAAAAGAGAAAACAATGTTCCTCTAAGCTGAGTAAGCCAGCCTTATGTTAAATAACATAGTATTAAGAGTGTAGAAACCGGACGGAAAAGAGCGCACGCCGAAAACAGCGGCGACAATCGCGCCGAAACCGAGCGGTCGGTCGGCTCTAAAAATTCGTTTGCTCTAGCGATCGGCGTGAAAACGTGACAAAGTTCGATGCGATATGTGAAAGAGAGGTGCTGGCGTGTCTATGGAAGTGCATGATCACGCGAAAGTCTACGCAGATCTACGTGAGTGGATGGATCGCGAGTGAATACGTCGACCAGAATTATGGTCGCTTGACAACGCCTAGCCTTATTTTTATACAATCTTATGTTCTAACAGTATTCTCTAGGTAAAGAGTTCCCCAAAAGATGTTATGTTCGAGATTGTGTATACTGGAAATGCCACGTAAAAACAAAGGAATATATATATATATCAAACAAAAAAAAATATATATATATTTCTCTGGATGTACGAGTTGTTAGTTGTGGATCTCGAAGAGTAACGTTGGTGAATAAAGACAAGAGCTATGATTTTAATTATGAATATATGCTCGTTATTTAATTTTGAACATAAATGTTTGTACAGAAATATGTGCATTGTAGTTAAATACATACATGCACACAATGCATACAACTGAAAAATGCAGTGGTTTTTAAGTATTATTTATTACCGATTTTAATTTTTTTCGTGACTGACAGCTCGTACGGCAAATAATGTATAGAATGATAGCATGATACGCACTATTTTAGCAAATACTAGCTTATATATATATATATATAAATATATATATATATATAAATATAAATATATACATAAGATATACGAAATGAAATCTATACTATTTAAGTAATGCTTTGTACAATAAAAAGATATTCAGAGAAATCTAGAGTATTGTAGAATTCTTTCTGTTAAAATTTCTTGCAATCTGTGTGCAACATGTAGTCGATTTTACATAGTAGTTACACAGGTGAAAGGTGTTCTCACTATATTCTGATACTTTTAGGAAGATTCAACTTTCTTTTACTAGCATTTTCTATTGTTTTCACCATCTTCCCTATTCATATAACATAATTATTTGTGTAAAATTAAGTGTTATTAAGATTTCAAATTTTTTGTTAACTATGAAATAATTTGACTTGATTATCTTGAAAATTACGTTGATGATGTCGTTAATCGAGTTATTATCGTCGATTAATCGCAAAGTAATTTAACAATTCTGCATTATTCTCTCAAAATAGTAATCTCGATTTAACCTTCGAAACTCTCTAAGCTCGCTTACACCTTATCATTTATTTTCAGTCCTCAATGCACGATCCCGACCTGCGCTAGAGTTGATGCGAGTACGTGCCACGGATCCTAGACCCTGTCCGAAGTGTGGAAAAATATATCGTTCGGCACACACGTTACGCACTCACTTGGAAGACAAGCATACGGTCTGCCCAGGTTATCGCTGCGTCTTATGTGGTACAGTAGCAAAATCTCGGAATTCTCTTCACTCACACATGTCGAGACAGCATCGCGGAATCAGCACAAAGGATCTTCCAGTCTTGCAAATGCCAAGTCCGTTTGATCCCGAATTGGCATCTCGATTACTGGCAAAGGCCGGAGTGAACGTGAGCCCGGCTGAGCTCCGAGCGCGAGCCAGCCCCACGGCACCTCGAAGAAGCGACATGAGATTGGAACTACCTCGCGGAGGCGCTGCTTCCGAGACCGGTAGCAGCATTTGTGGTGGTGACGATCCCGAAGATCTCTCACTCACTGTACACAATCTTAGATACGGTTCGCCAACGCCTACCAACCACAGCGTGATCACTAAGTCAACCGGTAATATTAACAGCAATGGCAAGAATTCAACGTCATCGGCAATTGCCGCTAAGTCTCTCGACACGATGCACGGTAGCCGCGAGCCCAACATGGCGCCGCTGCATCCATCCGTTCATCATGCCGTTCACAATACTAGTGCTATTGCCGGCACGGCGATTCTGGATACTTATTTACAGTTGATAGCGGAAAGTTCGAGCCTAACAACAATGGGACTAACTCCGGAACAAGCGGCTGCAATGGCTAACGCTGCCAAGGTGGTCCATCAAATGACCGTCATGGATAAGCGCGACCTTGCTCGCAGCTTGGACGATTATCCTGTCATCTGTAGGGATGAGGGACGGGAATCCGGAATCGTTCACGAGAACAGGCATGATACAAGAGATGCGCACGAGAGACATAGCGAACTTACAGACGACGTGGATTCATCCGGCGGTGAGGAGGAACTTAGTGAGAACGAAGAACCCGAAGTAGGCAAGAACGAGTAGTTCTTTGTTATTTGTTGTACAATCCGTATAGCTTTCTGAAGTTCCTTCAGATAACTTTGCATTCGCATAATTGCTGTGCTGCGATTTAGTCGATGAAAAAGGCAGATATAATACGCACCATCCATTGCAAACTCAATATTTTGTTTTTGTATTTGTTGTTCTTACGCGGGGATGGCTTGTGAAACAAATGACGTATGAACGAGCCTTGCTTATTAATAAGAATCATTAGGGCAAGTATATGTATATACATATGCACATATATATGTATATACATAGAACATATTCATATATCATACAACAAACACACTAAATATTGGGTTTGGAATTTTTTGGAATACCAAAATTTAATTTAACTTTTGGTACGTCGAATTATGGTTGTTGGAGCTTGCTTGGAACTTGGATTTTGGCAGTAGTATAACTCTTAAGACGAACGTTTATATCTACAGCATCAAAAGCCTACCAAGTTTAACAAGCAGTGCGACACGTGTGTCGCATATCTGCGTCCGCAACTATGTCACAAAGGTGCTTTCTTACGATATTGCTAATGTATCGTAATTGCAACTACATGATTTTTTCTCGCAACAACTAATGGGGCAAGAGACACATATACCCCATAAATATTCCATCCATCTACCTCAGTGCACATGATAGGTGATAGAACAGGCTAATACGAATCTCACTAAACGAAAGAGAATGAAATATGCCGCTGGATCATGGAACGGAAACGCGGGCTATAATGCCGCGTTGCTGCTTGCATGTCTAATGATACTGAAATTTATGACAAGGCAACTGTTTTTGCTGTTTATTTTCTTGCGGAAGATTTTTCTGATGATGGAAGACTTAAAAATAAGTAGACTTAAATAGATTTCACGTAAACGATTTAAAGATAGTTAGATAAGTTCATAAATAGATAGACAGACAATGTTATATTATTATACAGGATGATTCTGAAATGCATGTTAATATTATATATTGCATATCGCAGTGTGTTTTAGAACACAAAGTGTACACTTCAAGCACTTTGATGTAATTAAAAAAATAAAGTCTAAACAATTTATATTCGTAACAAAAATTTTTTTTATGTTTGATTTTATTCTCTAAAATATTGATATACATTTAAGAATTATTCTGTATAATTACTTATATGTATATATAATATAATATAATATATATATATATATATACATTTGTGTGTATATTATATATATTACATATATATAATATATTTATCTGCATCTATATATTATATATATAGATATATAATATTATATATATAAAATATATAATAATATTATATTATTATATATAAATATAAAAATATTGAAAGAAACACGTGCAGTAACTCCTGGATAAGATTATTGGATGGATATGGATGGATTATATAACAAATGCATGGGTTAATTTTTCTTCGAAGAATTATCTTATAAATTTTGTTGTCGGGACGAGTGCAATAGCAAATTTGGTTGGATAAACTAGTGTGTACTGGTACACATTAATGTGCCGCAGAAAATATACATTAAATTTAACAAATTAAACTAAACCTGCCTCGCGTTTAATATAATTTATTATTATGAGAATTACATTAATAAAATATATGTTTATTTTTAAAAAAATATAGTTTCAAGTGTTTTATATGATGTTTTTACAATTGCATAGATTAAAATATATAATAAATTTTAATTTGCAATAATGCGCACTATTTGCAGGCAACCAAATTTGTTATAACAGAATAAGAAGATTGGACTAGAAAGATTATAAAAGGAAACCATTTTTAAAAGTAATCTTTGTTAAAACACTTAACATCGGATAAAGCTCAAACTCGAAGTTGAAACGTTGAAAATGGAGGTGAGAAAAGTTTTATTTTAAAATTAGGAAAATGATCTTATATCCAGGAACTACTGTATATTGCTTAGATTTGTAAAAAAATTGAACAGAAGTAGCCCTGAAAAAAACACGTAGTAATATCAATCTATTTTGCCACAAAACCACCGATAAACGATCAATTCAGACCAAACATTATTTTAAATAACGTTTCATATTTGAGCAATTATTATTGGAATAATTGATTGCAAAATGTCTTCATATAACACAACCATTAATTTTTCATGAAAGTTGCAAAAAGAAGCAATATTGTTTCGTAGAATTTTTTTATAGAGAACAAATTGATTTTCATCAATATACTTTCACGTCTGTACAAATGTCAATGTACTCGGTTAGAAACGCTTCCTACCATCAATCCACTACTGTGTCACACAATCACGATTTTAACGAACGAATCATGAGAGTGTGTTCCATATATATATATATATACGTCCGATTGTTGAGCGTATTTATTACCAACAAATATTCAAACTTCTATCACGGAAGTATTAGGTTTTTGTTTTTAAAAAAATTGGACAAAGACAAACTTTTTACGACGGTTGTGAACGACATAATGACAGTTGGCCTCTGTTTAATATATATAGTGTTAATACGAGAATCTAAAAATGGGACACATAATCAGTGGCTTACCAGTAAGTTCGCCACTGCACATAATACAATTCTATCAAGGCAATAGATAACTATACTTTTATAGTGAATAAAAATGTCGGTTAGAAGCTATATAACATATGTCATGACACATTGTTGCATGGACATCAACACGACGTATTAATAACTAATTAATGAGTTACACATCTGTGAAAATTCGTATCTATTTGATGCGCGCCTACATGTTCACATACGTAGATGCGAAATACGCATACGTATCTCAAGATAATTCAGATTTTTTTTTCTAATGATTTTCTAGATGCGTACAATATCTAATAACAGGACGTTTACTTAACTGCATTATAAGGATTATAAAAAATTAAAAGTTCATGAAAATTTTTTTATTTCTGTACACAAAAAGAATTTTTTTTTAAAGAAAGCAAAAAAATTTTAAATAGATTTTTTTTGTAATATGAAGTATCAAATTATTATTAACTCTATATCGTGAACTTGAGATCGCGCGTTTAAAGATATGAATATTACCAAACGCAATTTACTAATATTAAAAAAATTTGTGAAGGCAAATATAAATCGTCTAAACAACTAGTCGTAAGAGGGATAACGTAGTACTTAAGTTCGAACCAATAAGCTCAGAATATTAGGCATAAGGTCAACGTGATCTGCAAGATTGTTGCTGCGCAACGTAGATCTGGGGAAATCGATTGCAAACTACGCGTATAACAAAACAAATTAAATTTTTTTAGCAATCTCAGGTCAAGAGAATACAATACAATCGAACGTTTAGACGCGTTTAGACACTTCGCTCTTTTTTTAATCACCGGCTTCGAAGCAATGATGAATTTGATTATAAAAATTTAGAGTCCGTTGCTAATGCATCAGAAACATTATTCATTTTCGCGAAACATAGGCAAAATGTAGCCACTGAAAAAATTGCCCGTAAACACGCGAGCGCAATGCGATAAGCTAGTAAAAGAAATGGTTCCTATTAATATATTTACGTGCTAATTTCATTGATGCTGTATCTTTCTGTAGATTACGAACAGATTACATATAAAAATATAATAATTGAGAAACATACATATATACATACATATATGCATATATATACATATATATTTCTTTTATACATATATATATATACATATATATATATATATAAAAGAAGATATATCACACATACACACACATACACACACACTTATTTTATATATATATATGTGAAAGGAAATAGTTTGTGTGTATGTTTTTTCTTTTCTATAGATACATATATGTACGCAGTATATACTATATGTATAAAGAAAAGAAAAATAGGAACTTGGCAATACGTAACGTGACGCGAGCTAAATGCAACCGGAAAATGATAAAAGAACTGGGTGGTGAGTAGATCGTATAACTTGACCGCGTAGTATCGGCAGGAACGCATCAATTAAGCGTATGCCGTCCATGAAATCCATGGTGATCGTGTTGTTAAGTTCTCGGATTATCTGTTGTTAAGTGCAACATATATATGTATATATAATTATTAACTAATCTGAGTGTCGGAGTAAACGGCAAGTTTAATTTAGAATAGAAGAGATTCCTAAAGAACGAAGGGTGTGACAAGCGCAAATTTGAATTCTAACTTTTGAATTTAGGCAAGAGAGTTCAGGAGTATTTCAATGGTTACTAATTCTCGATTGTACGATCGTTGTTCGTGACCGACCGATATTCTATAATAAGAGTGCTAAACAAGGGATTTATTTATCTCTTTTAAGAATTGTCTCATACATATTATCGGTCGATTGTGGAGACGATCAGACGAGAGTGAGACAATGAAAGCGAGCGGCATAAATAAAATGGGCATTAAATAAGCCCAAATTTGAGGTTATTGGGCGCTGGAATAGAAGGGATAAATCTCGGAACAGGAAAAAATAAACTTATTTCCGAAAATTGCACATACTTTTTTCGGGATTGAAGTTTAATCTCTGAACAATCGAGTCAGGCTTATACAATGCAATCTAAAAGAATGCAGCCGTTACTTGCCGCTGTGAAAAGCGAAGCATCGTCGGTATTTGTTTAGCAGATTGAAAGCATTCATTGAACAGCATTCAAATCTGCTATATAGGGCACCCAGCACGCCAGTGCAGGGCGGGACAGCGTTGTTTTGCCGACCTATAAAATTATCTTCACTTTTAAGGTTAATAAAAAGTGAAGGATAAAAATACGACGATGACGCCGCATTAGAAATTACATATTAGAAGTTAGAAACATATTATATAAGAGATAGTAATAGGGAGTATATGTATATGACACACAGATATATTAGATAGCTTGTAGGTTGTATGCAATACTCAAAGTCTAGTATCGAATTAGTTCTTAGAATTAATTTGTCATGATGGGTCAATGTCACTTTTAAGATAGATTTGTTGCAGGACGCCAAGCGACCGTATGCGAGGAATCTTGAAGCGAGAGCAATGCCCGTAAACGATACATGTCTGGTAGGATTTTAATAAAACCTACCGTAGTACCTGGCCATGGTGAACAAGTGTTCCCCAAGAAAGTTTTTATCTAGTTGACGACCTGTAAGATGGCCAGGTGTTTCCGAGGAAGTTTTTGTTTAGTAAACGAGTGGTGCTTTCAATGCAGGCAAAACCGTTGACTCTCGTCCGGTGAGATTAAACGTGATCAAAGTAAGCGGAAGTAGAGGATCGTGGAAAGGCGCGAAAGAAGTGACTCTTTCGACAATTAGTGTCAAACTACTTACGCGATATTGCGCAAAAGAATTCGGCAAGCTGCAGGAAAACTAGATGAGTTTCAAAAGTTCCAAATAAAAGCAAGCAAGTGAAATTAACTAATATCTTCGATAAATGATGGATTATTTTTTAATAACACGTTAACTTTAACTTAACTTAATATCTTTATCTTTAATAATTTAGTTTAGAAATTATTGAGTTGCTATTTGGGACAATTGTGTGTCATCAACAAAACGCAAGTAATAACGGGTTGTGCTAATCACGCGTTTAATGAGCTGAATTTTGGAATGTTCAAGCTTAACATTGTGTATACGAATGCAACTGTATACGAACATATGACATTTGTATACGATAATGCGTGCGGAAATTAAAAAGTAATAAGTACGCGATAAAATGAGTACTGCCCGCGTCATATTGTTATATGAAAGCATTCGATGTTTAATATTTTGCTAAGAAATACTCAAAGACTAAATTACATTGTTGTCATTATTATGATTGTTATTAATCAAGGTACTCATTTTTCTTCTCTTTCTTTAAAATGTCTAGAATGTCAGACTAGAAATGTCAGACGCGTCCACAAACTGCGATCTATCGAGCCGCGAACAACATCCCCGGGCGAAAATTAAAACACTCGACGAGATTTCATCATAAACTCGACTCCCATGAGTCTACATTCTCATTTTGTTCATAAATAATCGCGTGAAAATTTCTTCACGTGAGACAAAAGTGCGAAAATGAAAAAAAAAGTCGTTGACCAACATCATTGACTTTAAGATAGTAAAAGAAAAAAAAATGGAAAGAAAAAATGACAGGACATCTCAAACGAGAGACGAATCTACGTTTA